ACTCCATCTCGGGGGTGGGGGGAGAAAAAAAAAAAAGGAAAAGAAAGCATATGTCCACATAAAAGCATGTGTGTTCTTAGTAATATTATTCAAAATAGCCTAAAGTGGAAGCAAACTGAGGGTATATTTATGAAGGGGTGAATAAACTCTGGTATAGTTCATATGATGGAATGCTATTCAGCCGTAAGATGGAATGAAGTACTGGCACATGAATCAGTCTTGAAGACATACTAATATACGGTTCTATTTATGTAAGATGCCCAGAATAGGCAAATCCATAGCGACAGAAAGATTAGTGGCGGCCTAGGGCTGCCAGGGGGTGAGGTGAAATAAGGAGCAATTGATAACGGCTGTGGGTTTTTTGAAGGCGAAGGATGAAAATGTACTAAAGTTGACTGTGCTAATGGTTGCACAGCTCTGTGAATACACTAAACGACATAGAAGTGTATACTTCAAGTGGATACACTTTATGGTATGTCAATTATATCTCAATAACGTTTTAAAAAAAAAAAAAATCACCCCACCCACCCTATCCCAGGCTTCCCCAGGAAGTGACTAAAGGTAAAGGTCTTCTATAGCGACTTCCGGAACTTTCCCACGTATATCAAATGCATCGGAACCTAATCCCTTGACTGAGGGGTGAGCATTTTCACTGTTCCGAGTAGCCCTCTTGCACGAACACTGACACAAATGTGTATTTGACAGAACAGATTTGTGGATTAGACTCACCAGGGTGAAGAGTGTGTACGTTTGAAATGTCTCAGCACTACCAACAGATGCATTTCCCTGCACAGGCTGCATAACATTTTTTTTCTGAAATTCCCAGAATGGAAAATGACATATTCTTCTATGTTGCATTTCTTTGATTAAGAGAGAGAGCTGCATCACCTGATTACTTGCAGGGTCTGAGAATTGCCTTCTTGTTTTCTTGGTAGGTTGTCTGTTCTTTGATGGCTTGGCTGTCTTCTAAGGAATAGATTCCCTCTGTTACAGATTTTGCAAGCCTTTACCCCAGTCATGCCTGTTTTGATTCTATGTATAATCAAAAGGTTTGTGAGTTCTCCCACACTTCCCAGGAGTACCTCTGGAATGGAGATGAGAGTGCAGGAGCAGGGCTTGAGGCTGGAAGGATGACATGGGACAGATGGGGGTGGGGGAACCCAGGGAAATGGCTGCTGGTGGTACTGGAGGCCTCCTTACAGGGACACTGAGAGTCTGTGTGCCACCAGACGAAGGCACCAGAATTGTGACTCAGGCCTCCCTCTTCTAACCTGACCGTGCTGCTGACCCAGTGGGCAGAGCCTTGAGGCTCCAGACTGGCCTCCTACCGGTAACTCTGGTACTAATTGTTTGTTATTTAGACTATAGTAGTCAGGCCGGGCGCGGTGGCTCATGCCTGTAATCCCAGCACTTTGGGAGGCCGAGATGGGTGGATCACCTGAGGTCAGGAGTTCGAGACCAGCCTGGCCAAC